GGGCACAAATTTAATCGATAAAATATTTTCATCATAAATAAACAAAAATACTAAAAAAAAATGAGAAAATAAGTATTTACTAGGAATAAGAACCAGAAACTTTAGTTGAGTGCGGACTATCTTAAAGGTAATATTAAGAGCTAAAACTTTCAGAGGTTTTTATTTATCAATTTGGAACCATTTGAGCTCCTGGGAGCAAAGAAATTCGAAAACATCCATATTAAGGACCACCCTTATATATGTCTATCAATATTTAACTTTTTGTCCCATATTTTGATAATTACCCCCAAGTCAACGACCTTTTGCCACTTTCTCCAGGAGGAATTTCCCTTTCCACCCTCGACGCAACACGTATAATTTACCTACAAGTTTATTTTTCGATTACACATTTTTGTCGGTCTAATCTAATATCGAAAACGTAATGTATATAATGTTTCATGTTGAAATAAGTTCCTGGAATTGTTTCGACTTTGGCTGTCGATAACCGATTAATGGTTTATTTTGTGCCTTTTGCCTGCCCTCGCACTTTCAGGTGTAATAAGGGATGAACAGGGTGGAATTGGATCAAAAAAAAGAAAAAAAAATTTAGACTTCTATATGTTTGGAGCTCCAATTTGATTCCTCGAGTCAATTGTATAAAATATAACATAGGAATCATTGTACTAAGTAATAATTATAAAAAATAGTAGCCTGCCCGAAGGCATGTCCATGGTATGAGAGCACCACAAAATCAATGTTTTTTTTCCTCCCTTGTTTATTATTTCTATTAGCGTTTATTACCATTAATTAATGACTATTAATCACTTTATTATACTAAATATTAAAATTTTATAAAATCAACAAATTTATTATAAAATGGGCATTTTGATTCAGCAAGATGTTTATACTAAATAATTTATTACAATTTTTAACAATTACAATTATTTACAATTATAATTTACAGTACTACCTACATATATTTATATTGTAGATTTTTCACAGTAAACAAAAATCTATTTCAATATAAAATGAAAAAGATCTTAAGCCTAATAATAATATAATTGTTATGAAACTTACAGAAATTTAAACAAATATTTACAACATATGACAGATTTGAATTATTTACTGTAGGAAATTTAATTAAAATTAATATCTTATATTTTGAGAACGTATACCATCAATTTACAAATTTTTATTAAAATAGACTTTGTAAACTTGCACTATTTTTCGCAGATTTTATTTATTCATTTTCATTTTATAATTGTTTTCCATGGTCAATTGCTTATTGGAGCAATTACAACATGTTTTTTTTTTCTTTTTTGATTTTCATTTATTTATTTTTCTTTATTTGTAATTCATTTTTATTTATTTATTATTATTCTTTCTTTTTTATTTCTTTCTGTGATCATTATTTTTTTTTATTATTATTATGTGTAATTTAGCCATATAACTCATAAAAACTCATAAAACGATTAAAAAAATTAATAAGATATTTATTTATTATATTCATATTTATACGGATACAGTATTAGATACCACCAAGAAAATTTACACTATTGCCCTAAAATTACTTCAAGCCCTATTATAGTCTTGAGATGAACCTGACGATTATAATTATAATTTTATCCCCTGCTTTACTTTTTTAAATCTCAAAATTTCTATTATCTATGTTGTGAAGAATCAGGTTTTTTGAATATGGTCCTTAACCTTATTATGTTATTTTTTCCTAAAAACTAGCTGTAAGTGGAATTCTGTCTTAAGGCAATTAGGGCATCGTGCCTTAAGGCAAATTGCTGGAACTTCCCGTACCAAAAATTTTTTTTTTTTAAAAAACGATTAACATTTTTGAAAAAATTTACTTCGGAAAAAAATAGATTTTGAGAAACTATAAATATGATAAAAAATTATACTTTTTTGAACAAAAAAATTTTTTTTTTGAGAAAAATTTTTTTTTTTGAAACGAAAAAAAATTTTTTGAAAAAAAATGTTTTCTTCATTTTGACATATTTTGGAAATTCTGAACTTTTTTTCAAAGCAATCGTACTGCTTTAATGCATAGAGACGAAATATCGAAGCGCGCAAGTGCCGCGCCGCCGTCTAACGCATAAGCATTGGTACGGAACCCATAGAAATGTAAAAAAATGTATACTTTTTTTAAAATCTCTATAAAATATCTGATAATTTGATGTGCATATGTCTAATGATCATTTTTGACCGCCAAATGGCTCATTTTTTTACTTTTTCCTCCATATCTCCGAAACGGCTATACCTACCTTCATGAAAATTTCATCGATTCTTCATCTTGTCAATACAAGTGAAATGTTTTTTGAATTATTCAAATCGGACGCTCCGTTTCTCTTTAAAACTGAGTTACCGTTTTCGGCACTTTTTGCCCCGTATCTTTGGAACGGCTAGACCTGCCTTCGCCAAAAACTAATCAGCACGTCTCCTTATCAATACGAATCGAATGTTTTTTGAATTATTCAAATCGGTTGATCCGTGTTCCCGAAATCGTCGACGAAAATTTGTATCCGCACATACATACACACACGTACATACACACACACACACACACACACACACACACATACATCCATTTTTTCTAAGGTATGCCAAAATGTTCATAAACCTCTGAAACGTAAAGATATATAAAAATTTTCATTTTCGATTTTTTTGCGATTACTATAACTTACCCTACGGGAAGTTAATAATTTATTCCTTGATTACATCCCCGTCCGATGCACATGGATATTGACTTCTTCATACATACAATGTGTGGTCGTTACTTTTAGTCACATTTTGCGCCCCAAATGACTAACATCGGAATTGAAATAGATTCAGGGACTATTTGATATTATTTTCTTATTTATATCCATTAATTGAATGCATGTGCTTGATATTGTGTTAATTAATATTTATTAAAGTTTAATAAAACCCTGAAAGGGATGTGTTGTGTACATGTGTGCTGTTGCCTACGTTATTCACTTTTTCAAAAACAGAACAAAATATTGGACGTTCCTGCGACTCCTGTCTCACCTTAGATAATGGTTATAATTATATTAAAAATTATTATTTTAATATATCACAAATTAACTTTTTAGCTTAAGAATATATTATGAGAACTTGAATTAAAAATTAACTTAATTATTATTATAATAACTTATTTTGACGTGATTTTGACGACAAACTGTTACTGAAGGATGTTAAAGGGTAACGCCACAGCAAAAAATAGAATCATATAAACAAACACACACACAAATGTACCTCTTCTTAATTTTTCTTCTGGGAGTTTATTTCAGTTAAATAAATAAAAATATAGGGTTAGGTACTTTATAAAACACAAGTAAAATTTAAAATATGTAACAAATGTGTATTTATAGGTACCTCGGCTGGAATAAAAATATAAATTTCTAATATTATTAAATTATTTTAATAATTATTTATATTTCAATTATCTTTTTCCAGGTAATGCAATAAAGCGCGAGACCCACCGGGCTCGGCCGACGAACATTATGCCGCCGCCCTCGAGCAACGGCTTGGGGGCGGGCAGCAAGACTGGAGCAGGAGGCGCAGGCGGTGGCCCCCTTTCGCACAACAATCACCATGCGAACAACGTGCAGAATTCGAAGCAGGCCGAGCTGGAGCAGCTCAGCGAGAACATGCCGCCTCCACATCATAATAGACAGGTGATGATCGAAATTAATAGATACTGATATTTTTGTTTCACCTTACAGTGGTATCTCTACATAGGAGTAACGCTTTTATATTGACTTGCTCGTATCTCGAAGCTATTTTTCTTATGTAAATGCATAGAAATGCCATTAATTCGTACATGCAGTGTGGTGTTTTCGTTAAGTTTATTGAATATTAAATATAAATTCACTATACATTAATTAATTGATAATATGGAAATGAGTTAGATTCAGAAATCTGCTTATAAAATAATTATTACAAGGCCCTTTAAGGAGCCATATCCTTTATTAACTTGTTAAAATATACCTCAATATATTCACGTGGATAAATCAATTAATATTAATATATAATTAATAATTAAAATGACAAACTCTAAAATAATTAACTATCACAAAATATTTCTACGGTAGAAAAATCACTGCTACAAATGACAAATTTTTTATATCGTCACTTTGGCATTAACATTTTTCTAGGAAACTTTTACTCGCCTAAAGCTCGTATCTCGAATTTTGCTCGTATGACGAAGCAACGAGTCGCTCCTCTGAGCCTGGTTGGCACTGTATATAATTTTTTAATTTTAATGATTTGAGTTTTTGATAATCGACTTGGTAAAATAATGCTTTTAATTATATTGTTTTTTTAATTTTGTGTTTCATTTAATATGTTCAATTATATACACTTTTAAAAGTGCAATCAACTGTACTTCATTAATTTGAGCTTTGCAATTTTTTGTGTAATTTTACATATTCTCATATATATTTATAATTATATTTATATTATTTTTATATTTATAATATATAATTTTTTCATACATATTTTTCTCTAAATATTTATCTAAAGTTTACCATTACAATTTGCTTTTTTTTAAATATGGCATAAACTAAATTTTAATATTAATGGTAGCTCATTATTATTGCAAACTTACGCTGTAAATTTAGTATTTTATTAAATTTGATAATCGACTTGGTAAAATAATATTTTTAATCATATTGTTTTTTTTTTAATTTTATATTTTATTTAATATGTTCAATTACATAGAATTTTAAAAGTGCAATCAACTGTACTACATTAATTTAGTTTATTTAGTAATTTCACACATTCTCATATAATTTTCTCATACATATTTTTCTCTAAATAGTTGACCCTTACAATTTGCTAATTTTTATTTAAATATGGCATTGGTTTAAACTTTATTCCAATATAAATTGTAGTTCATTATTATTGCAAACTCCTTATGCTGTAAATTCAGTATTTTATTTAATTCAATACAAAAATAACCAAAACTGATTAAATAAATTTTATTTTCAGTTGCCTGCTCGAAGTCAAACTTCTTCAAACGTGCCACAACAAATCGCCAACAACATTGGAGGTAATTTAATATTATTTGACTATTTAATAAATATTTATATTACAATACTGAAGTTACGACGATCATGTTTAATACAATCTCTCGCATATTACACCACTTTAGGTCGTCTTAACGGGATTTGCTCTATTTATGCAAGATTTTTATTTAATTTTATCTAGTAAAAAAGTAATAAAATATTATTGTCTTTTTAAATTATTACATCTGGCCAATAATGATGCCTTTTCAATTTTTTTTTCTCATGATTTAAGCACCAATTTTCAAATCTATATCAATTTATTTTGGACCAGGTTTCGACCGAAAGACTCTTGTATCTGCGAGTAACCGTTTTGGCAACGTTCGTCGGATTTTCATCTTAAATTTTCATTATTTTTAAATATCTTATATAATTTTTTTCCCCAGGATCTAGTAATGCCTCAAGAAGATCAAATGTGGTAAAAGAAGTGGAAAAGTTGAAGGAAAACCGTGAAAAGAGGCGCCAAAGGCAAGCCGAACTTAAAGAAGAAAAGGAGGCGCTCATGAACATGGATCCAGGAAATCCCAACTGGGAATTCAGTGCGATGATAAAGTAAGCAAATATATATTATACTCGATTAATCAATATTACTATTTATTTTTCTCTTTAGACATTACCAAAACACGATAGCGTTCAGGCCCTTGAGGGATTCTGATCCAGTCGAAGACCACCAGATCACAGTTTGTGTTCGAAAGAGGCCCCTCAATAGAAAGGAGACGAATAAGAAGGAAATAGATGTGATAAGGTGATTGAAATTAATACTTTTGATATATTGTCAATGGAATAACAATGTTTTTTTTATTTAGTGTGCCTAGTAAAGATCAGATGATTGTGCATGAACCCAAAAGCAAAGTCGACTTGACGAAATTTCTTGAAAATCAACACTTTCGATTCGATTATGCATTCGACGAATCTTGCAGCAATGAAATTGTATACAAGTAAGAAAGAAATTGATATTCAAAATCTAACGATATCAATAATAAACAAAATATTATTTTGTAGATACACCGCAAAGCCTTTAGTTAAAACAATATTCGAAGGTGGTATGGCCACATGTTTTGCTTATGGACAAACCGGATCAGGTAAATGTTGTAAAATAACATTTATCACAAATTCTAAGTAAAATAATTTTTTTATTCTTTCTATTACAGGAAAGACTCACACGATGGGTGGTGATTTCAATGGTCGTACCCAGGACTGCAAAAAAGGTATCTATGCGATGGCAGCTAAGGATGTCTTTAAGACTCTCAGATCGCCCAAATATAGACCCCTTGGTTTAATTGTCAGTGCCTCGTTCTTTGAGATATACAGTGGTAAAGTTTTTGATTTGCTCAACGACAAGGCAAAGTTACGAGTGCTGGAAGATGGAAAACAACAGGTAATAGTAATAGACTCACTGATAAATGGTTGTTGCTACAATCAAACTCATGTTTTTTTATCTAGGTTCAAATTGTTGGTTTGACCGAAAAGATTGTTGAAGATTGCGATGAAGTATTGAAGTTGATTCAGCACGGAAACAATGCCAGGACATCAGGACAGACCTCAGCAAACACAAACTCATCCAGGTCGCATGCAGTATTCCAGATCATTGTGAGGTCGCCTGGTTTGAATCGAATCCACGGCAAATTTTCATTGATTGATTTGGCTGGTAACGAACGAGGTGCTGACACTTCTTCTGCAAACCGACAAACTAGAATGGAAGGTGCAGAGATTAACAAGTCTTTGTTGGCACTCAAAGAGTGCATCCGGTGAGTAAAATTATAGATAACCTATTGTTCCTATTTATTTTTTAACTTCCCGTAGGGTTTCTGAATATTTTGGCATAACTTATAAAAACGTATGTGTTTGTGTGTGCGTGTATGTGTGTGTGTGCGGATACAAATTTTCGTCGACGATTTCGGGAACATGGATGAAGCGATTTGAATAATTCAAAAAACATTAGATTCGTATTGATAAGGAGACGTGCTGATTAGTTTTTGGCGAAGGCAGGTCTAGCCGTTCCGAAGATATGGGGCAAAAAGTGCCAAAAACGGTAACTCAGTTTTTAAGAGAACGGAGCGTCCTATTTGAATAATTCGAAAAACATTTTACTTGTATTAACAAGATGAAGAACTGGTCAAATTTTTATGAAGGCAGGTCTAGCGGTTTTGGAGATCCAGTAAAAAAAAGTAAAAAAAAACCCATTTGGTGGTAAAAAAATCGTACCAATGTTTATCCGTTAGACGGCGACAAAAGTTCAGAATTTCCAAAATATTTCAAAATAAATTTTTCTTCAAAAAGTCTTTTAAAAAAAAGTAAGTTTTTGTCAAAAATTTATAGTTTCTCAAAAATCTAATTTTTTCAGAGTAAATTTGTTTCAAAAACGTTCATCTTTTTAAAAAAAATAATTTTGGTACGGGAAGTTCCAGCAATTTGCCTTAAGGCACGATGCCATGCGCCCCACTAGTTTTTTTTTTAATTACAATATTTATTACAACTGTTAAATAATTTAACATCTAGTAATAATAATAAACAATAAAAAACATAAATTTAAATAAATAAGAGTACAAAGGATAGAATTTACATTAAAATGATATTCGTAGTATGATGATTTGATATAAAATAAAAGCAACCTAGTGGTGTATGACATCGTGCCATAAGGCAAATTGCTGGAACTTCCCGTACCGTAATGAAATATTCGAGAAATTTTAAACGTTTTCAAATATATTATTACAAATACCGTAACTTTCATTATTTTTTTGCTATCTTGTTATATCTGAGCAAATCAAATGTAAATCATTTAATGAATCAAATTATCTCCAGAGCATTAACAATCGTCATTTCATTTCGAATTCAATTTCAAAAAAAAAGTAGTTACCAATAGTCACAGTCTAAACGCATTTGCAAATAATTCTGTGCGACATTTTCACTTATACTGTGCTTGGCTTGGCGGCATTTTCACATTTTTTGCCCACCGAAAACGTGGACCAAAAAATGCTGACATACAAAACACACACACACACACATCATTTTTTTCTGAGGTATGCCAGTAAAATGTTCAGAAACCTTCAAGATGCCGAGAAATGCAAAAATTTTCATATTCGATTTTTAGCCCATTACTATTACTACCCTACGGGAAGTTAATAATAATAAAAATAAAATTAATAAATAAAAAGTGGAATTAAAACAATATTATCCATTTATTATCTAATTGATGATGCTATTGTCCATTCAGAGCCTTGGGCAAACGGGGGGCTCATCTGCCTTTCCGGGCGAGTAAGCTCACACAAGTGCTGAGAGACTCCTTCATCGGAGACAAATCAAGGACTTGCATGATTGCTATGATCTCTCCGGGAATGAGTTCCTGCGAGCACTCACTGAATACTTTGAGGTATGCTGATCGAGTGAAGGAACTTGCTGCTTCGGATCCAACTGGCATGTCTAGAAACTCACCCACTAATAATAAAGGTAATAAGATGAATTATCTATGGTAACAATGTTTGTGTTGCTATAATTTTTTTATAATAATTTAGGTAAAGGATCACGCATGGCAATTGATGGTGAAGATGAAGAAGCTAACGGCGATGAAGGTAAGAACTTTTAATTATAATGTTAAATTATAAATGCATATATTTTCAGTATTTGATTTTTTTTTTATTGTGCAGGTAATGATGCTATGGAAGACGACCAGCTTCGAGATGAAGACTATGCGTTGATGATGAATCAAGGTGGATCAAGCGATTTGGCTCAATTGCGTTCATTAAATGTGAGTTGAATTTAAGCATAAATATGATCTAAATTATTGACTCGGTGCATATATATTGAAGTATCATAAATTATTTACCAGGAAGGTGATATGTCAGCCGATATGCTGTCTTTCCACGAGGCAGTTGCTGGAGTGCAGAGGGCCGAAGAGGAATTGCTCGATGACCATCGTGCTCTGAATGAACGTCTGCTCGAGTTCCATGCACTCAGTGCTGATCTGTATGCTGTTGCCAACAGGGACGTGGACTACGACCAAGATGGTAAGTGACTTCAAAAACATTAGTATAATAGATATAAACAATCTGTATAATAAATTCAATTGAAACGTCGATGTTGTCTTAGCCATATACAGTAGAACTCCAATTATCCGAACTCCGACTATCCGAATCGCCAATTATCCGAATCACTTTTAGAAAAAAAATTGTCAAAAAAAGTCTAAGTGCGCTACTATTCTTCCACCAGCAAAGCCAATGTAGGCACATTGTTTGTTTTGATTTGACGGAGATGTTTACAAAACAATGATTTTTATTTCTAAACTTGTACATTTTTTTTTTTTTAACTCGTTTATGTACATTTTATTTATATTTAAAACATGTGTAAATATCGTGTTTCTTTCATTTAATTCAATAAAAAAATAGTGCAATATCAAAACGTAACTTTTTTTCTCTCCAATGGCAATTTTTAAAAAAAACTCCGATTATCCGAATATTTGATTATCCGAATGGGTCCCGGTCCCCATTAATTCGGATAATTGGAGTTCTACTGTATTATCAACAACTATATTTTACATAATAATAAAGAATAAAATTAAAAGCTCAAAATGGCGGGTCAAAAGCCCCCCAGATTTTGGTTATTTGTAAAAGCACACCTTTAGATGGCGACATAATTAATTATATTTTATCCACAATCGGTGCCTAAAATTTTGTAATTTTGCAATGTCTGTAAGGGGTTAAAATATATATTATTCTCTTGGATCTACTGAAATAAATTATAAGAATAAATTAAAGGAAAGTGTTCCACGAATATGTGATAACCAGGTATCAGAAAACCGGAGCGCCGAATTTCAAGTGCGTCCATGAGAAGGAATTGGGCTAAACCTAAGAAATTGTATATCAAACGAAATGTTCCTGAAAAGTTGCTGAGCGCTAGAAGGAAAGATTCAAAGGCAACCTTTGTCGAAAGGAAAAACATTCCACGAGCAACCAAAACCAATGTCAACAATACTATTAAATCTATCAATACTATCAAGGGTACCAAAAATACTCCACGTTCAAGGTATGAGGTTGAGAAAAAAAGCGTGCAAGAATCCACCAAAAGTTGTATTGTACGCAAAACCACATTAAAAGATACTAAGAATGTTGCTAAGACTGAAAAGCAAAGTATTGATAAAGAAGAACAAGAAGAAAAGACATTTTTCACCAGAAAGTACGTCCAGAAACGACACTTTATTGTCGATGATCATAAAACTCCAATAAAATCCAATAAAAGTAATGATTATTACAAAGTGAACCTGCGCAGCACCGACAAGAACTACTGCATGAAGAAAACTAATGGCACTCAAGTCGAATATTGTAATGTCAGGTGCCAAAAAGTAGCAATATCTGTCATTCGAAAACCCGTAAAGACCAAGAAGAATGTCTGCACAGTCGATGAGGCATTGAAGTCGTTATGTGGTTCACAACCAGCACCACAATGGTGTTTGGATAAATTAGGTGATATCGAAGTAAATAATGTACCTGAAAAAGAACTGAAGACAGTATTAGAAGATCCAGTATTTACTCAAGAGGAAAAGAAAAGTTTTGGGCAGCATCGTGTCTTGGAGACTATAATTTTGATATTTGCATTCCCAGTCTTGTATGTGGTTGTGATTTTTATATATTTTTGGCATGCTCAATTGAAAAATACTGTCCTTCAGTCTTCTGCACAATAATGAAGAAAAAATTCTGTGATAAAGATTCATAATATTCTAAAAGTACCTCTTACATATGTGATAGTTACTGAGTAAAAAAAATTAGTCTAGTCTATTGTGTTTAATCATCGTTAGTGATTTTTTCTGTGATGTTATAATAATAACTTATAAAAATAAAATAAATCGTGTAAAATTAGAAATTAAAATTCGAATCATAAACATTTTGTTTTTGTTAAAATTGTTATTTTCAGGATTTTTAAAAATTCCAATAAAAATTTGTAGGATTGTATCAAATCAACTTGATGTCACTGAATAAAAGAAATCTTAGTTATTTTAACCAATGGAATGCAAATTGTAAGATAAAGGAAGCACTTCTCCAGGAATGAGTTCTTTGTTATTAGTTTCAATGTTTTGTGTTTATCATAGTAAATCGAAGAAACCAAATACATTTGCACTGTTATTTATTCGTGAATGAAATGTTACATATGTAGTCCATGAATATGGAATGGTAATTTATATGAGATTACAGTAACCCATTCAGAAAATCACTTCGATGATTACCCAAACTCTCTTACCAGGAAACTCCATTAGGAAAGAGAAAGTGTATTCCACATTAATCTCCAAGACTTTGGACTTCATTTTTATTCCTAAAGATTTACTTATTGTCTAATTGGACTTTTGTAAAAATTGTCTAATAAAAATGAGGAAATAAATTGAGAAGAGAAAATTGATCAGGTTATTGGACCAGGATATTCTGAAGAGTTAATTTATAATTAGATTATTAGAAGAGATAAATTATATTGGAGAATAGGTTCAGGAAGTTATCAGATGGAAGAGTTCATTCATCATATTAGTGGTCCACGAAATTCTGAAGAGTTATTGGCTCAGTAAATTTTTTAATCGGATTATTGGCCCAGGAAATTCCTGAAGAGTCAATTGATTAGATAATTGGTTTAGGAAATTCTGAAGAGGTAATATAGATCATTGTCCCAGGAAATTTAGATGATTTTATTAATCAAATTATTGGCCTAGGAAATTCTGAAGAGTTAATTGATGAAATTATTGGCCCAGAAAATTGTGAAGAGTTTTAATTGATCACATTATTAGTCCAGGAAATTTTCAGATTATTAGCCCTGGAAATTCTGAAGAGGTAATTGATCAGATTTTTGACCCAGAAGATTTCTGAAGAAGCAATTGATCAGATTATTGTCGCAGGAAATTTTTGAGAGTTAATTCATCAGATTGATATTCTGAGGCTTTGGTTGAATATGATTATTAACTTCCCGTAGGGTAGTTATAGTAATGGGCCGAAAATCGAAAATGAAAATGTTTGCATTTCTCGACGTTTTGAAGGTTTCTGAACATTTTGGCTTACCTCAGAAAAAATGGATGTGTGTGTTTTGTAAGTCCGCATTTTTTCGTCCATGTTTACGGGCGCACGGATCAATAGATTTGAATGGTTTAAAAAACATTCGATTCCTATTGATAGGGAGATGTGCTGATTAATTTTTGGCAAAGGCAGGTCCGGCCGTTACGGAGATACGGAGCAAAGAGTGCAAAAAATACAAACCGAGTTTTTGAGAGAACGGAGTATCGGATTTGAATGATCTAAAAAACTTTCTGTTTGTATTGACAAAACAATTGCTTTTGAGGATAAAAAATTATTACATCTCTTTTTTATTTTCCATAAAATAAATTTGTAATTTTGGATTAAAAATTGAACAAATGACCCAGGCTAAGCACAGTCTAAGCGCCACTATGTTACATATGTTTACCTAATTGCGTTTAGACTGTTTATGAACTGGAAAACTTTTCCAATTTTGTGAAAACTATTGAAAAATGTGAAAATGCCGCCAAGCTAAGCACAGTATAAGTGAAAATGTCGCACAGAATTATTTGCAAATGCGTTTAGACCGTGACTTTAAGGGAGCACTTTTTTAATTTTGTGTAAATTAAGCAACTATTTTTTTTAAATTGAATTCGAAATGAAATGACGATTGTTAATGTTCTGGAGATGAATTGATTCATGATTTACATTTGATTTGCTCAGATATAACAAGAGCGCAAAAATAATGAAAGTTACAGTATTTGTGATAATATATTTGGAAACGTTTAAAATTTCTCGAATGTTTCATTGCGGTACGGGAAGTTCCAGCAATTTGCCTTAAGGCACGATGCTATACACCATTAGTTTATCAAGTAATTGGACCAGGAAGTTCTGAGGAGCGTTATATGATGGCACAGGCAACTCTTTTGGGTTCGGAGATGATGGTGGTCAGAAATGATAATTTGATATAAGAACTTTAAATTATTAGCTTTAACCATAAGCTCAAATTTTCCAAAGAAAAAACATTAGTACAAATAAGAAAATGGAAACTTTAGTGTTTCAAACGAATTCCAGCAACTTTCCTTAAGGCACTTAGTTATTAGTACCCATTTCTAGTTATTACTATAATTTTTTAAATTAATGTTTGTTACTATTTTCCGAGTGTGTGTGTGTGTGTGTTACCGTTTTCGTTATTTTCCGTTTCGGTTCGTTCGTTTCCGCGAAATCAATGTGTGTGTGATAGATGGCGTCGGCGTCGGCGCGAGTGACGTCATGGACGATTACGATGACGACGACGATGACGTCGACGGCGTCGACAGCGTGAAGAGGAGGCTGCGGCGCAAGCGAAGAATGACAGGTGTGTGTATCTGGCGAATTTCTATTTGATTAATTCATTGATTGATGATAAGAATTAATTGTTGTAAAAGACTTGCAGATAGTTCGAATTATTATACAATATACAGTCTTTTTTTAGAAATACTACTGAACTCATTGTAGTTGAATAATTTACTGGATTTGTTTATATATTTATATAATACTAGCTGACCCGGCAAACGTTGTTTTGCTAAGTACGGTATTTTCTAAACAATTTCTAGAGAATCAAAAATATTAATACTTTAAGTGTATAAGGATGTGTTGTTTGAATGCTATATACAATGAAGTATTATAATAACAATAAACCCCATTAGTTTATCTATATTTTGTCAACTGGAAGTTTTATACACTTTCTATAGAAAACATGGTATAATCGAATCCAAGTCCTTTTTGGTCTTTTCGATTACATTTCAAGTTTTTCAGATTCTTTTGGATTCTGGATTTTGTGTATAAATGTAAATAATACTACTGAGCTTATACAAAATTTTCAAATTTCTGCCAGGAGAGATAGAAAATGAATTAAGTATTTCTTCTTTGACCTGCTTTTTGAAAAGTTTCAAGTAACATTCGATGAATTAAAGTAAATTTAATAAAAAGTATTATGGATTTTCAAAGATTATCTTCTATCTCCTGATAGCAAAGTCATAAGAATCAAGGTTATATCTGGTTATACATCTTTTTCCCTCTACTTTCAAATTGAAATTTCAGGTTTTTGACACATCAGTGTTGGACCTTTTTAACTCCGGACCTTCATATATTACTATCTATTTTTCGATAAATTCTGGGAAATTTCGATAAATTCTGGGAACTGGGAAAATGTTATTCGGCAAAATGTCCCTTTGATCGATACCAAATTAAGTTCTGAATTAAAATAACATTAATAAAAAATAATACGACAGCACCGTGTTTGAGAAAAATATGCCAAAAAGTGAATTTTCATATTAACATTTCAAAAAATTTTGAATATTACTTTGTATCACTAAGAGCAAGGGGAGGTCCAAAAATCCTTAAAAAACGATCACGTGATTAATGGACGCTCCCTTTTAAAGTGCTGAGATGCCGAAAATTATCTTAAGCAAATAATTTCAGTTTACTATAAGTAGGTTTTTAGAAATTAAGATTATATTTATATAAATTTATTTATAATATACTTTGTACATTTCCCAACAGTTTAAAAAAAATCAGTAATTAAATGTATTGTGTTTTGTTGTTTTATCTACTAAAGAAAAGTCAAATTGTGACTCGAACCAATTGTTACAAAAATTTAATTTAACATAATCAAAAAAAAAATTAATCCTTTCATGCGTTTTTTCTGTAAATTTGGACTAATGTCTGCATAAAAAAAAACGTGTTTACTAATTAAAGATATATTTTTTTTAAATATTTGCAGCCACAAGTTGAAGCAAAAAGCAATAACTAATTATTGCTATTCATTATGTACGTTTGGGCACGGTATGTGTGTCATCATTCATCACATTGACAAATTCTGCAAAATATTTTGCAAAGTTCAAAAAATTACAACAAAAAAAACAACATTATAACAAGAGTACACAATTAAAAATTGAAAGATTTTTTGTAAATAATTGATATTATAAAAAGTATTATATACTAAAGGGCAGAATTATGTTTATTTACACGAAGAGGATTTAAAATGGTAAAACATATTCAGATATATATATATATATATATATATATATATATATTAGGGTGGTCCTTAATATGGAAATTCCTTGCTCCCAAGGGCTTAAATGGTTTCAAATTGATAAAAAACAATTATCTGAAAGTTTTAGATCTCAATATTAACTTTTAGATAGAGCGCAATTCAAACTTCGTAGGAAATTAAAAAAAAGGTATATATATATATGTAAAAACTATAAAAATATATATGGGTACTAAAAACAATAAAATGTATGTGTGCCCAAATTTTCTTTGACATAAATCTACATTTATAGGTTATGAACTGTCAAAATACTTTATCCATATTGATTTAACAATCGTATTACATCTATCGACCACCATTATTCCTTAATCATTGGTCCTTTATCCTTTTCAGCTTACGCGCTGCGCTTCGAGGCCCTCCTGAGCGAATTGGCCGGCTCAATCGGCCACAGCCGGGCACTGCTGGCCGACTTCCGGGCCAAACTGAGGGCCGAGGAAGTGATGTCCGCCATGATGGCGAACGCCGTCCACCAGAGGCGCGGCGGCGGCGCCTAATTACTCGGGGGGCGCCACCTCCGATAACCCATAGAGATAGATTTGTTCGCTGTGCGATGGACATTGATTTTTGATTGATTTGATTGATTTCGGGGGGCGTTATTATTCTGTTCGTGTGTGTCACATGCATGGAAACGCGCATATGTTTATATATTACTATTAGATACTAGTGCGATACTTACATACGTTAATGTTTATAATTATTTTTATAATTACTCATTTGAAAATATTGATTATTTATTGTTATTGCTTAACTTATTTTTTTCTGCGCTCATACTCTGTAATTAAATTTGTGAACTTTTTATATATGTGCCTATATGTTTTCATGAATACATTCATATAAATATATGTATTTGTTATGTATATATTTATATATATGTTATAGGCGCCTCTATATCTTTCTATCTCTGCAATATTGTATTCAGGATGGTCTAATGAAAACACATTTACTTTCAATAAATAACGTTTAATTAATGCTATTTCGGTTTTTTTATTATAATTACAGCAGTCTTTGGAGATTTTTTTCAAATAATTGATAATGTGATAAACATCACGTATTAAAAGGGCAGAATTACGTTTATTTTTCACACAAATTCAGCAAATTTTCCAAGATCTCTTTTCTTAACTTCCGATAGGGTAGTTATAGTAATGGGCCGAAAATCGAAAATGAAAATTTTTGCATTTCTCGACGTTTTGAAGGTTTCTGAACATTTTAAAGGGGCATACCTCAGAAAAAATGGATGTGTGTATATGTGAATGTGTGTTTGTGTGTGTTTTGTATGTGCGCATTTCTTCGTCCACGTTTTCGGGCGCACGGATCAACCGATTTGAATGGTTTAAAAAACATTCGATCCTTATTGATAGGGAGATGTGCTGATTAGTTTTTGGCAAAGGCAGGTCCAGCCGTTACGGAGATGCGGAGCAAAGAGTGCAGAAAATACAAATCGTGTTTTTAAAAGAACGGAGTATCGGACTTGAATGATCTAAAAAACATTCATTTGATTGGGAGAAGAGGTGATTAGTTTTTGGCAAAGACAGGTCCCGTCGTTACGGAGTTACAGAGCTAAATGTGCAAAAAATTGCAGTTTTTGAGTGAACTAAGCGTCCAATTTGAATTATCTAAAAAACTTTCTGCTTGTATTGGCAAAACAATTGCTTTTGAGGATAAAAAATTATTACATCTTTTTTATTTTCCATAAAATATTTTGTAATTTTGGATTAAAAATTCAAAAAATTACCCGGGCTAAGCACAGTCTAAGTGAAAATGTCGCACAGAATTATTTGCAAATGCGTTTAGACTGTGACTACACGGGAGCACTTTTTCAATTTTGTGTAAATTAGGCAACTTTTTTTTTTGAAATTGAATTTGAAATGAAATGACGATTGTTATTGTTCTGGAGATAAATTGATTGATTTATGATTTACATTTGATTTGCTCAGATATAACAAACAAGATAATGCAAAAATAATGAAAGTTACAGTATTTGTAATAATATATTTGAAAACGTTTAAAATTTCTCGAATGTTTCATTACGGTACGGGAAGTTCCAGCAATTTGCATTAAGGCACGATGCCATACACCACTAGTCCTTTATATAATAGGATTCTTAGTATTAAAAGTATTATTTGAACTAATAGTATGTACTGTCTTAGTTAATTAAATTAATAAATTAAAAACTAATAAAAAACCTTCATTTAAGAACAACTTTTTTTAAAAAATGGAAAAAACTGCCTAAATAGAGAAAAGCAAAAAACTCCTTTATATTTAAGGATTGTGTTCGATATCAGCTCAATATCAAGCAGTATTTCACTTGAGGTTATATATATTGTAATCTCAAGTGAAAATGTCCTTTTTTGGGCGTAGCTGCAACATTATACTTACATATGTAATATGTATGTAGTGTGCAAATAAAAGAAAAGTGGTTAACCGATGGGTTGCCGTCTTGGATAAAATACCAGGCTAGGATTGGCTAGGATGTACCACAGCTGATGGGACTTGCTTTCTCATCAGGTAATTATATATTAATAGATTAAAATATATGTAAATAGATGTATATATATATATATATACAGTTTTTTGGTTTGTTGAAAATATTTTATACTTTTGCTGTTTTTGTCGAATTTCTAATGCCGAGTTGTTTTGTGAACAAAACTGTAAATTTCAATAATAAGAAATAGCATTTACAATGCTTCGTATATTATTGTATTGAAGCACTTGAATGTGAGGAATTCACGTCATTGTGTGATAATTAGCATTGATGTCGTCTTTCGAACGTTAACGAAGCCGACATTGTTTCATTCAATCTTCTTATGACGATGATTAATTCAAGTTCAAGATGTTTTTGCAATTGCAAATAACTAAGGAAGAGAAATTACATACGAGTATTATATAAAATATAATTTGAAAGGAAACATTATACTTACAATTTAAAGTCGAGCTCTGCCATTACCTCAATTTTAATGTTTTGCACACCATAAGGGCGTGACCCTAGACAATTTTAGAATACCTCGTGTTTGTGGCGTGACTACTCTAGCACGTAAATCTACCCTGAGGTTTAATTCTATAATATAAATATGCAATATAGAAAAGATAAACCTGATTAATTTGAATGGCGTTTAAATATATTGGTA